TCCTGCCCCCCACCCCCATCCCCCTTCCCGCTCTCCCATTTCTGTTCCTTCTTCCTCTTGTAAAGTGGGCGTCACTCCATTTCACCATCAGGGAAACTGAGGTTGGGAGGGGAGGGGACATCCCAGGGACGCGTGGCCAGTCCATGGGAGGGCCAGGATTTGCCGGCCACCTGTGACCCATCGGGACAGCTGGGGTGTGAAAAGCAATGTGGGTGAAGCGCTTGCCCTGGTGAGGAGGGCAGTGGAGCCCTTGGTCAGGGGCTGCACCGAGGGCTGGGAGCCCAGCAGTGCCTCCTGCACCCAGTAAGTACACTGTGGCCCTGCTCCTAGAAGCAGGACAAGAGGGTAATTAAAGCCGCCCTGCCAGCCCAGCTCCAATGAAGAAGAAGGGAGTAGGTACTCACGGCTTTGTTGGCAGCTACGTGCAGGCGGGACGCCCAGAACCTCTGCCCTCTGTCCTGTAGGAGAGGATTGTGTCATTTGTTTAATTTCAAAAGAATGCCTTATTTTTTAAAAAAATATATATTTTTATTGATTTCAGAGAGGAAGGGAGAGGGAGGGAGAGAGATAGAAACACCATCCATGAGAGAGAATCATGGATCGGCTGCCTCCTGCACGTCCCCTAGTGGGGATCGAGCCCGAGACCCAGGCATGTGCCCTTGACCAGAATCGAACCCGGGATCCTTTGGTCCGCAGGCCGACGCTATCCACTGAGCAAAACCGGCCAGGGCAAGAAGAATGCCTTATTTTTTATCTAGACTGGATCTCCTGGACTGTGATGTGGAATAAAGGGACACAAGGAAGCGTCTCCCTCCCACCCCTTCTCCAGCCACCCGACACCCCCAGCCGTACCTGCCGGGGCCCCCTCCCTCGTCCCCAGCCATACATATTGGTGTGCCCTCTCTCACCTCCCGGCGGTTCCTGTGGGTGTCCCCTCCCTCGCCCGAGTGAACCCTCCACCTTGATAAACTCTCGCTATAATTTAAATTTGCATCTTTCTCATTTTGAGTGAAGTTGAGCCTGCCTGGGTGGGTTCATTTCATGTCTTGGCCCATCTTTACTCGGGGTTGTTGGTCTTTGTCGTACTAATTTGTAAGAACTCATATCTATAACAGGGAACAACCCTTTGCAAGATGAATTGCTGATATTCCCACAGTTTGTTATTTTTTTATTTGGTTCACCACCCATGCATCTGTCTTTTATTTTTACAAGGTTGACTATACCCATATTTTATTTAATGGCTTCTGGGTTTTGTATAATTCTTAGAATAATTCAAGGTTATAGATTTTTTTTTTATTCTTCAAGTAGTTTTATGCTTTTTTATTTTCTTTTTAAGCTTTGGTTCATTTTGGAACTTATTTTAGTGTCAAGGAGTGAGGTACTGATCCAAAAGTTTCCCCCAGCCTGGCCAGCGTGGCTCAGTGGTTGGGCACTGACCTATGAACCAGGAGGTCACGGTTCAGTTCCTGGTCAGGGCTCAATCCCCAGTAGAGGGCATGCAGGAGGCAGCCAATCAATGATTCTCTCTCATCATTGATGTTTCTGTCTCTTTCTCCGTCTCCCTTCCTCCCTGAAATCAATAAAAATATTTTTTTAAAAAAGTTTCCCCCAAATGTCTTTTTAGTTGTGCTAAGACTGTATTTGTTGTATATTTTAAATTATTTATTGAATAATCCAGTTTTTCCTTCTCATATTTACCTAGGAGTCTCTTTCTGGACTTTCTTCCCCATCATCTGACTGTCCAGGGGCTGCATTCATTACTGTGGTTTTAGAATATATTTTAGGATGCCACACAGCCAATCTCCTTCAGTATGCTTAGGTTTAAATGTTTCCTTGTTTTTTTGTTTGTTTGGTTTTGGGGTTTTTTTTTGCTCACTTATCCTTTCATGTGGACTTCAGAATTTGTAGGGCTGGGCCTCTTGATTTATCCAGAGTCAGAACTTCAGAACATGCTCCTGGGACCCAGCACAGGGTTCACCTCATTGGTGGCTGCCCATGGGCTTCACTCTCCATTCGGCCGCGCCCTGCTGATGGAATACACACGGGCAGTGCTGTCCAGGGTGCTGGGCTCTGGATCTGCCCCAGGCTTTCCTTGGTGGGGTGGTGTGTCCCAAGGGAGCGGCCAAGGTGGAGGACCCTCTCTCTAGGTATCATCAATTGCATATGGGAAGGGAGTCGATCCTGGCCTAGCTGTGAGGTTCTGCAGGCCCAAGTGTGGGCCTTTCTGCTCACACACACCTGGGTGGAGTCTGCCTGGTGTTGTAGAACGGGCTGGAGAGGCCCAGTGGCCAGAGCAGACAGGCAGCACTGAGCACAGGTGCCCGGGAGAGGAGCTGGGTCCAGGATGGGCAGCTATGGCCACTCTGCTGACCACTCATTCCAGAGGAGGTTGCAGGCAGGTGGGAGGCAGCAGCCAGTCATCCTTCAAGCTGAACTTGTGCACACTCAAGCCAGAGCCTGGAGCCTGGGCATCGATCGAAACCTCCCAGAAACCCGACCCTCAGGCCAGCCAGTCAAGAGTGGCAGCTGAGAGCCTGGAATCTGGCACAGGCAGCCCAAGGCTCTGTGCTCAGGTAATCCCTCTCCTTCACCCCCAGGACCCAAGCTCGACCCACCTCGGAGAGCCTCGCCTGGGAAAAACCAGCCACCTCGTTGAGGGGCTGCAGCTGGCTGGGCTGGTAGAGTGAGGGCACCAAGGGGGGCTGGGCTGGGGTGGGCAGACCCCAGACTCCTTCCAGGCTAAGAGAAGTGCCTCTGAGGCTGGCAGCAAACCTCAGCCAGGCTGGACTGTCAGCAGGAATCCTGGCTAAAAATACCCCACTCTCAGCTCAGAGCCCTGTCCTTACACCAGGCACGTGAATGTGCCCTTCAACCTTCATGCAAGAGGCCAGCAATAGGCCCATTGGACGGATGAGAAAACTCGGGCCTTGCACCCATGAAGTCCCAGCCCAGGGCCCCAATCTCCAGGACCAGCCACAGAGTCTCCTGTCTCACCTCAAGGCCAGGTCTGGCCCCTGCCCTGCTCATTGCCTGTGACCCTGGGCAGGGGTCAGAGCAAGGATCAGTCTAGGACAGTGGTCGGCAAACTGCGGCTCGCGAGCCACATGCGGCTCTTTGGCCCCTTGAGTGTGGCCACGAAGTTAATCGCACTGTGTACGTGCGCGCC